AAAATTCATACCTTGTCTAACCTGATGAAGTCGGAGATCGAGGATGAAGATGACCACAAACAAGCACTCCTTTCACTTGGGATGACCTTGAAAATGGTTGAGGACTCTCTCGATGCCCTCTGAGTATTTGTGTCAAGGTCATGTTAGGTGTGGACGATGTTTCCTATTGTTGGGAGGATATGAAAATGGCTGAGATGGGGACTATGAGGAATGTTGCGAAGCTTCCTAATACCTACAAAAGGCGACGAGGTGGAATCTCATCGCCCTTCGGGAGCAAAAAATTGCTGAGGGAAAGAAAGTATGTAGAAAGATATAAAGTGCAAAATGAGAGTAACGAAATAGTAAATCAAATGCGTATATTTATGCCAGTTCATGTGTAATTATAAAAATTATATTTTTAATATATTTTAACATAAATTAATTAAATATGTAATTGAAAAATTATGAGTCTCTATAAATATGTGATTAATATTAATTGTTAATTTTAATTAAAATTAAAATTTGGATTTTAAAAACTACCAAACATGGCCTATATGGTTGTTTAGCGAGTGTACGATTTGTCCCAATGCCGGGCGTAGGGAAAGTGCAGGCCTTTTAAGGATTGGACAGCTGTCGCTTTTTCGTACGTGACGAGTAGTTCGGGTAACCCGTGGGACACCAAATTTTGACACGACTACAAAGCTACCATCTTATTGAAACACGTGTCCTTTCCTTCATATTTCTGGAAATAATAAATTGTTAGATATTATTTGAGAGATCAATTTTGACTAATTTGAACAGTTGGGAATATTGTGAAAAATATCCCATGATTAGGTATCTCAATTTTAAAAGGCAAAATGAAATTAATTTGAAGAATTGTTTCCATGCAAGATGAAATAAATTAATTGTCCTCCTTTTGGCCTTGGAAAAACATACCAAAAGTTGTCCCTTGGGATGGTCGAGTTGGTGGAGCAGGTGAATGTGGAGATTAAAGGTCATGAGTTCAAATTTCATGCCAACACTTCCTCCTACCAACACTTCCTCGGTCGAGCCCGTCGCACCGAGTTTACCTAGTGCATTTTATCTCTCCAGTATGGTTTGCGAGCTACTGCTAGGGGTGAGCATGAGTTGGGTTAGGTTGGTTTTTGCCTCAACCTAAACTCAACTCAACATGATCGGTTTGATCAAAATTTAACCAAATCCAACCCGTATAAAGGTTGAAACTCAACCCAACCCAATCAAGTTTCGGTCGGGTTGAGTTGGTTGGTCAGTTTGGGACGACTTGTCAACAAAAATTAAAGCTATTCAATTTTCTATTATACTAAATTTGAATAGACAATAATAAATAGTAAGTGAATAAATAAAATTATCTATTATTTTATTTAATCATCATTAGTCGAGCTTACAAAAAATAAAGTGTATTTAACATAACATGAAAAATTTATACTAAATTTCTTGTGGGAAGAATGGTAAGCTCCTCCTCTAAAATACACCAAGGTAATTACAATTACACTATCTACTCATATTTTTTAGTTTTTTTTTTTTAACTTTTCTAGACATTTTACTTCTTTTATTTTTTAAATGGCGGGTTGGATTGTGCGGGTTTATTCGATTTTTTTGAGTTAATTCATAACCCGACCCGACCCAACTCACACCACCTACACAGTTAACCCACCCAACCCGTGTAAAAACAACAAAAAAATCTCCAAAAGATTTAAGATGTGTCACATGAAGCAGACTAAAAGAAATACATTTTTATAAAATCATGTGAATTTTTTTTTTTTTTTTTACGTATTAGCCTGACCTGTAATCCGGTCATGAATCTGTCCCTATGAGTATGTTACTTGGTTTTGAGAATTGTGACCATCAAAATTTGCTAATTTTTTGAAGAGTATTGTTATTTATAAGTAGTCCTTTCCGTTCATTGGTGATATATTATTCAATGATGACACATCTTAAATCTTACACTTGAGATTATAAATCAATTTTTTTTTAAGTATTACGATCAAGAGTTTCGAAAGAGGTGATAGAAGTTTTGACCCTTTTTGTCTAGGTGGGTTGGAATTGTCGTAAAAAAACAAGCCATGTTTAAAAATGTATCAATTTTAAAAGGAAACGGAATTTAGTTTGGAGACCTTCCTATGCAAATTCGATTGGTGAATTGTGAAGATGAGATCATAAATGATTGTCCTTTGTTAGGAATATTGGGCCTAACTCCACCTAATAAAACCGGCTTATTAGGGAAGGATTGCCCTCACCTTATTAAGTGGATTATTAATATTTTCCCAAGCAATGTGGGATTCTAATACGCCCTCTCACGCACAGCGTG